GCTCGTAACAAGGCTAATAAAGTACTTGGGTTCATACAAAGGAGTGTTAGTTACAAGACTAGAGAGGTTATCCTAAAACTTTATCTTGCGCTTGTGAGACCTCACTTGGATTACGCAGTTCAATTCTGGTCACCGTATTACAGAATGGATATAGAATCCCTAGAAAGAATTCAGAGGAGAATGACAAGACTAATCCTGGGCTTTAGGAACCTTGAGTACAGAGACAGGTTAAAACAGCTTAATTTGCACTACCTCGAAAGACGTAGAGTGAGGGGCGACATGATAGAGGTGTATAAATGGAAGTCAGGGCTAAACAAATGTGATATAAGAAAGGTACTCAAACTATCCAACCAGGAGCGAACTCGTAACAACGGCTTTAAACTAGACAGATTTAGATTTAGCGCGAGATAGGTAAACATTGGTTTGGAAATAGAGTAGTGGATGAGTGGAGCAAGTTACCAAACATCATCATTAACTCGAATACGCTGGATAGCTTCAAACATAGATTTGATGGATATATGAGCGATAGGGGTTGGGTGTAAATGGGACTGCCCAGTCTGGGTGGTGGGTTTATGGAGAGTCATGCAGACACGGGCGGGAGGTCATGTGCCTTCCTGGATTAAGATGTAAGTTCTCGTGTTACTAGCTCCTCCAACATGGCCATACGAGCATGTCTACCTGACCCTCGCCTCCCTGTGTCCTACTCCAACACGGGGGCGTCCTGGTTTTCACATCCTGGTATTCTATTCGTTTTCAGTCACTGCTGGATCATTCACTTCTCCCCGGCGTTTATCCACCGACCACACCCTTCCCTTATCACCTTGGCTGTACCCTTGAGAGTTGCCGACACAAGCGAAGTGTGACCTAGGCGCTTTGTCCTCTCACCGTGTAGACATAAGTAGCCCGTAGGGAAGGGGGGGGAGGGGGGGCAGAGTGCTAAATTCTCCAGTTACCCCTTAATCCTGCTGGGCACTAACTTAACCCAATGTAGTCATTTGGTCCATTAGCACTTTGGGAGTGAGGGGAGAGTTCAGCAGCCATCACAACGATTGAACTGGCTGTCGAGACAAATCAGAGTGCTAGCAGGTACACCTGAACACCGCAGTGGCCACATCCTAATAACCAGTTGGGTTGTTAGCCACCATAATGCGAGTGTTGAGTAGGCAGATGCTGGATGTGGGTGTAAGTGTGGGCGAGGGTGTACGTGTGGGTGTAAGTGAGTAGGTGTAGGTGAAGGTATGGGCGTGGGTGTAAGTGCAGGTGTCGGTGGTTCATAAGTGAGAGTGAGGTGTAGGTGTGGGTGTAGACGATTGGTAGGTGTGGGTGTAGGTGAAGGTGAGAGTGTGGGTGTTGATGATGGCTGTGGGTGTTGATGATGGCTGTGGGTGTTGATGACGGCTAAGGGTGTGATGACGGCTGTGGGTGTTGATGATGGCTGTGGGTGTTGATGACGGCTGTGGGTGTTGATGATGGCTGTGGGTGTTGATGGTAGCTGTGGCTGTTGGTATTTACTCGTTAAGGAGATTCTGAAGTCCGTATCATTAGGTTCATTAGTGATGCTTCCTAGACTGAAGTGGAGGGGGTGAGGAGGGGAGAGAGGGAGGGGGATAGAAAGGGAGGAAAGTGGATAGAAAAGAGGGAGGAAGGAGATAGGACGAAGAAAATAGAAGGATATGGTGATATAGAAGGAGGGATGGAAGGGGATAAAAAGGAAGAGAGGGGAGGGAGATGGAGAAGGGGAGGGGGAGGGCGAGGAAGAGCAGGAAAGGAAGGGAGGAGGAAGAAAAAAGGAAATCAGTGAAAACAGTGATGATCAAGGTTAACGAGTTAGTTTACATTACAACTACTTAAACTACTCCAGAACGACCCCGTTACATCCAAAACACACCATGTCTAGAACTACCCACCTTACTCGGATGAATGCGACCCAGTTGGTCTTGGATGAGTTAATTACCTCAGTAGTACCCGAGTTCAAGAGACCCAGTTGCTACAGACCAAACCAGGTGCGGTACAGTACGTCAGAGGGACCCAGCTGCTTTAGGATATAATAAGCTTTATGTATAGTTTATAAAATCATTTTTGTTTTATGTACATTTATTAGATTTGATCATTTTCAGAATAATAAATTCTTAAATAAAGACATTTTTCGAATTACTGTTTTTTTTGTTAATAAATATCATTAGATATTTCAGATTTTTTTTTTTTTTTGTAAGTTTAGGATGAATATTTCGATATTTTTCAAGCAAAGATTTTCGAAGAATATTTATAAACCCTTTTAAATCCGTTGTTTATATTTTGATGTCACGTTTTTCAACCTTTTTTATTTTTTCACTATTTTTATGTTATAAAAATTTTTCAAATCCAAACAACATTTCAAAGGACAGGATTTAGAACCAGCCATAACAGGAGGTCAGGTTGTCAGTGAGTGTATCGAGTGTGGTTGGCTTTTAATTGATAGTTAGTGTGGAGAATAGCTGTGACCCCGCCCCTTCCAAATGGAATTATAGCGGTGACGTGACCAGGAAGTGTGGTGGGGAGAGCGTGGTGGGGAGAGCGTGGTGGGAGAGCGTGGTGGGAAGAGCTGGTGGGGAGCGTGGTGGGGATGGTTGAGATATTGCTCGTGGTGGCGACGGTGGTGATGGTGCCTAATGATGGCGACGGTAGTGATGGTGATATTGGTGGTGGTGATGGTACTGGTGGTGATGGTGATGGTACTGGTGGCGATGGTGGTGATGGTGCTTGTGGTGGTAATGGTGGCGATATTGCTAGTGGTGGTGGTGATGGTGGTGATGGTGCTAATGATGGCGACGGTAGTGATGGTGATATTGGTGGTGGTGATGGTACTGGTGGTGATGGTGATGGTACTGGTGGCGATGGTGGTGATGGTGCTTGTAGTGGTAATGGTGGCGATATTGCTGAGTGGTGGTGGTGATGGTGGTGATGGTGCTCGTGCTGGTACTGATAATGATATTGGGGTTGATGGTGATGATGTTAGTGGTGGTGGTGATGGTGATAGATGGTGATGGTGGTGACGGTGGTAGTGGTGGTGATGTTAGTACTGGTGGTGATGGTGCCAGTGGTGGTGATGGTGGTGATGGTGGTAGCGGTGGTGACGTTGGTGGTGATGATACTAGTGGTAGTGGTGATGGTAATAGTGCCAGTACACAGCCTCTTCACCATCAAGACTCCTGCTGTATCTTCTCTTGGCAACACGCGGTAACTGGGTGCCTCTTGGACCCAGGCTAGACCAGCAGGGGATCTCGGAGTAGCAGTGGGCCCCAGAGGGACGGCGCATAGGCCCACTGGCATGTGGACACGTCTTGGCGCCTACCAACCGTTGCCTCACTGCCTTGCGGATTAAACCTTTGTTAGGTATAAGGCTACGGGAGTAAACCCCGAACGAAAAATCTGCAGGGGATTCCCATATCAAGAGGACAAGGAAGGGTAAGAGGATGGGGTGAGGGGGAGAGGGAGGGTGAGGATGGGGTGAGGAGAGAAATTGAGAGAGGGGGTGAGAGAGGGTGAGGATGGGGTGAGGAGAAGTGAGAGAGGGGGTGAGGAGAGAGGGTGAGGATGGGGTGAGGGAGAGAAGAAAGGGTGAGAGAGGGTGAGAGAGAGAGGAGAGGGTGAGGATGGGGTGAGAGAAAAGGGTGAGAGAGTGAGGGAGAGGAGGGTGAGGATGGGGTGGGGGAGAGAAAGAAGGGTGAGGGAGGGGGGTGAGGGGGGAGGGAGGGTGAGGATGGGGTGAGGAGAGAAGGAAGGGGTGAGGAGAGAGGGGTGAGGGGGTGAGGAGAGAGGGGTGAGGATGGGGTGAGGAGAGAGAAGAAGTGAGGAGGGAGGTGGGGAGGGGGTGAGGATGGGGTGAGGGAGAGAAAGGAGGGGGTGTCCTTCAGACGTAGGGTGCCTCGGACAAAATGGAGCTACATCACACACTATTATTGACTTGTTAAGGCAACACAATCCATTTAGTGACATTACAGAGGATGCCAGTGGCCGAGTGGTTACAGTGGCCGAGTGGTTACAGTGGCCGAGTGGTTACAGTGGCCGAGTGGTTACAGTGGCCGAGTGGTTACAGTGGCCGAAGTGGTTAGTGACCGAGTGGCTACAGTGACCGAGTGGTTACAGTGGCCAGTGATTACAGTGGCCGAGTGGTTACAGTGGCCAGTGGTTACGGTGACCAGTGGTTACAGTGACCGAGTGGTTACAGTGACCGAGTGGTTACAGTGGCGAAGTGGTTACAGTGGCCAGTGATTACAGTGGCCGAGTGGTTACAGATGACCGAGTGGTTGGTGACCGGTGGTACAGTGACCGAGTGATTTGGTAGTGGTTGATGGCCGAGTGATTACAGTGGCCGAGTGGTTTTAGGTGACCAGTGGTTACAGTGACCGGTGGTTACAGTGACCGAGTGGTTACAGTGACCGAGTGGTTACAGTGGCTGAAGTGGTTTGCACAGTGGCCGGAGTGGTTGCAGGGCCGGTGGTTACAGTGACCAGTGGTTACAGTGGCCGAGTGGTTACAGTGGCCGAGAGTGGTTTACAAGGCTCACATGTATGTCTTTAAAATGTGTTCGGTCCACCCAGTTGTGAATGGACCTAACAAACTTTACTCCAATATTGTGGGTATGAATATTTCGTTTTAGTTGGGGTCTGAGAAAAATAAAACGTGTCCTCATTAACACACTTCTGAGTAAACCCGGAAACATTTTTATCTTGGGAGAATGATGTCAGGAAGAGCGTTAAAATGTGCTTTACTTTATATAAACTCTTAGTAATAGTTTCCTAAATGTTTTTCCCTGGTATTTTTTTTATTGTAATTAAAATAAAGAAGAGAAATGTTTTTTAATATACCTTTTATATGAAGCGTGTTGTGGTGTGATCTGTCCGACCTCTCTCTCTCTCTCTCTCTCTCTCTCTCTCTCTCTCTCTCTCTCCTATTCACCTACATTTCTCAATTTACTCACCTTTCCCCAGCTGACTCACTTCTCCCCTCTCTCCACACAGCCCTCATGAGTCAGTGCAGTGCCCAGGAACTTGTCAGAGTCCTCAATGATCTCTTCGCCCGCTTTGACCGTCTGGCTAGTGTGAGTATAGCAGATATATTCAGTATATTGCAGTATATCCACCATCCACACAACACCAGTATATTGTAGTATATCCACCATCCACACAACACCAGTATATTGTAGTATATCCACCATCCACACAACACCAGTATATTGTAGTATATCCACCATCACAACACCAGTATATTGTAGTAATTCACCATCACACAACACCAGTATATTATGTATATCCACCATCCACACAACACCAGTATATTGTAGTATATACCATCACAACACCAGTATATTGTAGTATATCCACCATCCACACAACACCAGTATTGTAGTATATCCACCATCACACAACACCAGTATGTTGTATATCCACCATCCACACAACACCAGTATATTGTAGTATATCACCATCCACACAACACCAGTATATTGTAGTATATCACCATCCACAACACCAGTATATTGTAGTATATCACCATCCACACAACACCAGTATATTGTAGTATATCCACCATCACACAACACCAGTATATTGTAGTATATCCATCCACAACACCAGTATATTGTGTATATCCACCATCCACACAACAGTATATTGTAGTATATCCACATCACACAGTATATTGTAGTATATCCACCATCCACACAACACCAGTATATTGTAGTATATCCACCATCCACACAACACCAGTATATTGTAGTATATCCACCATCCACACAATACCAGTATATTGTAGTATATCCACCATCCACACAACACCAATGTATTGTAGTCACTGTATATAATAATTATAGTTATATACGGCATCCAATATACTCTAGTGTTCCTGATTTATCGTAGTTTACATAAAATTATTCATATATCAGTTGTTGTTGTCCAGATTAGACGTTTTATATGTAAAGCAGAGTTTATTTTAGTGTGTGTGTGTGTGTGTGTGTGTGTGTGTGTGTGTGTGTGGGGTGTGTGTGTGTGTGTGTGTGTGTGTGTGTCATTACAACCGTTCATACACAACTTAAAACCATTTAAACTAAATCCATCTGTCATATAAAGTGAGCCTCACCATCTATCACTAAACAGACTCTACCTCCACTTAGACTCCTCCTCCTTCTCCCCTTCAGGAAAACCACTGCCTCAGGATCAAGCTGCTGGGGGACTGTTACTACTGCGTGTCTGGGTTACCTGAAGCGAGGTCAGACCACGCCCAGTGCACCGTTGAGATGGGCCTCCATATGATCCGGGCCATCAAACTCGTGAGGCAGAGAACCCAGGTAGGTCACCACCTCACTTCTTTTTGTTCCTTTCTAATAATTTTCATTTTTTTTAATAAGAAGTTTAAACTGTGTGTTTTAGGCAATAACAGTGAGGAGGTGCCGGGCTGCGTAAAATTTATAATACTTTTTGTTTTTAATGAAAATGATTCCAATGAATTAAGATTTTAATAATATTAAAGTTAATAAACATAATGATGAGACCATTAATAATAATAATAATAATAATAATAATAATAATAATAATAATAATAATAATAATGATGACGATAGAATATGATGAAAATAGAAGAAGAAGAAGAGAATACAAAATAATAAGCTGCCATATTAAAAAAAAATAGGGTTTAATATTACCGGGTTTTTTTTTCCAACGTGGACCAAAACACGAAAAGTAATCACCATAATTAATTAAATCGTTTGCTTATTTTACTGTAGGAAAGTCCGAAACTCATCTAATATGGAACACGATTTTGGTTTGACGCGTTTTACATCCTACACAAAAGTCGCACAAAAAAAATCAGAATCCAATATTTTTTTACCGCATATCCAATGATTTCCCGATATGGTGTTTTTTTCCCCCCAGTATTTGTGAGTGATATTTAACTCTCTCTCTCTCTCTCTCTCTCTCTCTCTCTCTCTCTCTCTCTCTCTCTTGGAATCTGAATATAGGGGATCACTATATAATGTACATCTGCCCCTTTGTCCGTCCGTCCGTGTTTCTGTCTGTCTTTCCAATTGACAACTTAAGTGATCGTGACGGCTATGGTAGGTGTCCTTGGTGAGTGAGGGCGGAGGAGGACGAACAGGAAGAAAAAGAAGAGGAAAATGGAGAAGGAGGAGGGAGGTAGAAAGAGGAGAGAATTAAAGGCCAAGAGAATAAACGAAGATAAGATGTAACAAGAAGAGAAAGGGGAATTGGAAGAATTTAAAATGAGGAAGAAGTTTAGGAAGAAGAAAAAAAGAAGAAGAGGAAGAATCCCTAAAAAAACGGAAAATAGGAACAAATTAAAAGAAGCAAGAAGAAACGATTAGAAAAAAAAATTATAAAAAAAAAACAGTCGAGACGTTGAGGACAAAGAGGGGAAGTCTCAGGCAGATTGGATGAACCGAGTCGCGACAGTGTGGAGATCTTGCTGTCCACGATCTTGACAGGCAGGAATTGACGGATAAACCCAGCGGATACTTCACTAACCTCTCCTGTCGCATTGTAGAAGCTTCAACACGACAACCCTAACCTAACCCAACCCAACCCAACCTGACCTAACCTAACCCAACCTAACCCAACCCAACCTGACCTAACCAAACCAACGCAAATCAAACCCAACGAAATCTAATCTTGCCTGACCTAATATAACCTAACCTAACCAATCCAACTGTTACCTAACCTAACCTAACTTATCCTGACGATATTATCCTCTTGGTTGTATTAGGTTAGTATTGGGCCTATTAGAATAAGGTCAAGGAATAATTACTATCGAGATTGGGGCCTATTAGGACGGGGGCCCATTAGTTCCCTCAACTAATATTTCATATACAAAATTGTCTCATCATGTTACTCTTCCTTATTATTATTATTATTATTATTATTATTATTATTATTATTATTATTATCATCATCGTGTGTTGTCATGTCTTCATATTTCCTTTGCGTCGTATAATAATATATCTTCATAATTTTTATTTTCCTTGTCATAATTATTACGTTAAACATTCAGCTTATTATTTGTTATGGAATATTGTTATTGACGAATCAGTTGTCATTGGTGTAATATTGGCTTCCTCATTCTGTCTTTTACACCATGATATATATACAGGCGTACACCTTACCGGCAGTTCAATTATATCTTACCCCAGGTGTTATTTTTGTTCATCTAATCGATTTTATACTTTTAAACAATATCTGAAGTTATTTTGGTTGAGTTTTTTATTTTTGGGGGGGGGTAAAGGGAAGGGGTGCCTTACTATTGTAGGGTTTGATCAGTGTGACCCAAAGTCTGAGGATTTTCCCAGATTTAGGATTTCATCTGTATTCTGGATTGAGTTGGCGGCCCGTGGACACCACCCACCGCTATATATAGGTTACATGTGTTGGGTTTTAGAAATATGGATGTGTGTGTGTGTGTGTGTGTGTGTGTGTGTGTGTGTGTGTGTGTGTGTGTGTGTGTGTGTGTGTGTGTGTGTGTGTGTGTGTGTGTGTGTGTGTGTGTTTTATATACAGTATACGCTGTTTATGTTTCAATGAATGTATATGTGTGAATTTTTTGTAATCTCTCTCTCTCTCTCTCTCTCTCTCTCTCTCTCTCTCTCTCTCTCTCTCTCTCTCTCTCTCTCTCTCTCTCTCTCTCTCTCTCTCTCTCTCTCTCTCTCTCTCTCTCTCTCTCTCTCTCTCTCTCTCTCTCTCGAAAGAAGAAGATGAATGAAAGTTTCTGTGTCAGGTTGAGCGTCTGTCTCTCCTCTGTCAAAGTTTGGTCAATTGGAAGCAGTTCTGAAACAAGATTTGCATCAAAATCCCATCATCAGTGAAAGACATTGTCTGATTTATAGTGGCAAGTTCAATTTATTTTCTTACCTTTTGCTTTCCCTCAGTTATCTTCTTTTTCTTTGTTTTCCTCATTTATTTTGATATTTCATTCCATCGTATTCCTCTTGCAGTACCTCTTCCTCCTTCGTCTTTTCTTCTCTTTCTCTTCCTCCCCTTACTTCTCCTTCTTCCTCATTTCTTCCTACTTTCTCTTCTATTTTTCCTTTTCTCATTTTCTTCAAACATTCTTTCTTTCTTCCACTTCCTCCACTTCTTTCCCTCGTTTAATTTCTTCTCTTCTTTCACCGTTTCCGATTAATCCATTTTTAATCTTCCGTTTTCTAATTCTCACGGTAACTATTGTATATTTTGTCAAGACGCCATGTTGTCTCACTAAGTCATGTTGTCTCACTAAGTCGAGATATTTGATAAGTTTGACACTTTATTAGATTAAGGTTATGGGCCTAGTGGCTTTGGTTATATTCCGCTACAACACCACAACTATACCACCACCACCACTACAACACCATCACCAAGCCACCACCACCACTACAAAAGTCATCACCACTACAAGGCCTCACCACCACCACCACCACTACAACACCACCATCACAAAGCCACCACCACTACAACACCATCACAAAGCCACCGCGACTATAACATCATCACAAAGCTACCACCACCACTGCAACTCTATCACAAAGCCACCGCAACTATAGCATCATCACAAAGCTGCCACCACCACTACAACACCATCACAAAACCACCACCACCATTATAACATCATCACAAAGCCACCGCGACTATAACATCATTGCAAAGCCACCACCACCACTATAACACTATCACAAAGCCACCACCACCACTATAACACTATCACAAAGCCACCACCACCACTATAACACTGTCACAAAGCCACCTCCGCCACTACGACATGATCACAAAGCCACCACCACAACTACAGCACCATCACAAAGCCACCACCACCACTATAACACTGTCACAAAGCCACCTCCGCCACTACGACATGATCACAAAGCCACCACCACAACTACAGCACCATCACAAAACCACCACCATCACTATAACACTATCACAAAGCCACCACCACAAGACCAGAAGGACGAAGTGTTGGTGGAGAAGGGCAGTGTGTCACAATATGGTGCCTGGACTACCGTAGCTCGGGTTAATTAACACAGGTGATGATCAACAAAGGTGGTATAATGTCCTCAAGAGCGACTTGTTCTCTCCCGGCTTCTCATGTATAATATATAACTCGTAAAATTGACATAGTTTGCTAGCTATAAATCACATGAAGGATGTTGAGTGAGTGATAAAGCCGTAGATATTTGTGTAATTTTATGTCCTGTATGCAGATCTACACAACGCGATACAGAGGAAGAGAGAGGGAATTTTGTACATTTACCGTAATAATTCAACTGTGTCACATTGTGTAGAGTTATGTACATATTATTACACAAAATATACGGTTGTATCACTCCTATCTCACCATCATTACCTCGACGTATTTCATGTTTTGTAGCTAGCAAACTATGCGGAATCCGACTTTATTATTATGTACTCGCACATTATGGCTTAGAATTGTTTCAGGAATACACTGTAATTTCATGTACATCTTTGTAGTCTCAAGCCACATTGAGAATCTGGGAGGAAGTTTTCCACCTCAGGAAGAAGTCTGATTAGGAGGACTCGGGCGATGATCTTGCCAGTTACAGACAGTAGTGAGAACCCGCTGTAATTGCCACAGTCTGACCGGTCTCCTTTGTGCTTATAAATATTGAAGATGCAGCAGGCGTCTTTAAGAGCTTGGGGAATTTCCTCTTTTCCCACATATTCTCCAGGAGAGAGTAGAGACGGCTGGTAAGCAGAGGTCCTCCTGCTTTATACGCATCGGCTGGGATTCCATCAGGCCCTGAGGCTTTGATATTTTTCATCTGTTTCATGGCAGTGGTTACCTCATCCAGGGATGGAGGATAGCTGAAGTGGGTCAGCTCTGGATGCTGAGGGACATGCTGGGTAGTCAGGGCATCCAAATCGGTGTTATGGTTGAACATTGAAGAGTAGTGCTTACTCCGGAGCTGACGGATGTCTTCTTCGTCTTTAATTAGGGAGTTACCGTCGGATGAACAGACGGGGCTGCTCCGTCAGTGATTGGCCCATAAAATGTTTCAGTGGAATTGATAAATTTGAGCATCTTGTGTTAATCTGCAAATATTGCATTTCACATGCTTTATTTTTAAACCAGTTCTTTAGTTTGCGAAGTCTGCGCTGGGTCACTGTTTTCTTCTTGCGGAAGGTGTCAGCTTTGGTCCGAGACTGAGGGTTGTTCTGCCAGTCAGTTAAAGCTGCACATTTATCATCAACGAGTACATTGATTTCCAGGTAATTTTCATCAAAACCAATCCTGGTGGATTGTTTCCATCTGGCCGAGGGTCTCTGCAGGTTTTTGTCATAATAG